GTTTAGAATTGGAAGAACAGAAAATAGACAAGTAAACATGATGGATTTTTGTTCTTTTAAATTTAATTTCAGATAAATTTTTTTGGAAGAAAGAAACGAGGTAAGGAGAGACAGAAATGATTTGAGAAAGATAAATTATATACATGTAACAGTAATACATTAAAAATGATTATTTTGTCAAAAAATTTATAAATTGGTTAAATTTAATGTGCATATAACTGTTGCAATCGATTAGACTAAAATTTGGTAACGAATAATAATAACAACAAATAATAATAATAATAATAAATACAAAATAACAACAACAAACAATAAATAGAAATGGTAAACAACAGCATCATACAATAGACAACGACAAATAGCGACAAAGTGTGACAAATAATTAAACAACAGCGACAGCAACAGTTTTGTTTTTTTTTTATTGAAGAATTTTGTTTCTGAAAGTAAATAAAAGAAGGATGAAAGATAGAGTGATGAAGGGTACGGTATGATAGATTTTGTAATGATAAATTGAATAATTAAAATATAAAAAAAATTTTTAAAATAATGCGGCAATTTTCAACTCATAGCATAAGTTTGAGCTGCAAAATTTTTATTATGCAAATTCAAATTTCTATTTGAATTAATCTCTGATTTCGAAAATTTCTGGTGAAATATAAATGTAGATAATTTGAAAATAAAATTAAATGTGAAAAAAAAAAAAAGAAACTGCAGTATTTACGAATGGAAAAAAAAACTTAAAAAAATGGGTCAAAAAATTCTTCGAAATTTTTAATAAGTGCTAAATATATGGTAAACCATAAAAAAGAAAAGAAGCATCTAAAAAAAAAAATCTTTTTAGTACCAATTACTATCAAATTATTTCTTAAATTTATTTGCAAAATTAACTTCACATTATTAATTTGCATATTAGTTGCTTACTGTTTCGTATTATTCCTTGTCACCAACCATTTTTTGATCACTCATTTAATTTCCAAATATATTTAAATATTGTAATAAAAGGGATCGTTGATTATTTGTCGTTGAAAATATAAAATGCTAAAATGAATGTAATCTTATTATTGTAACTCAATTATTGCAAGCAAAAACTTTTTTTGAACTGAAATTAATTATTTAATTAATTGGTGAATTATTTGATTAGAACAATTTCATCATCTAATTTAAATTTCAGTAATTTAAAAGGAAAACGAAACACTTAATTATATCTATTTGCATAGCAAATATCTGCACCACATACTATTGTAATACTATTGAATAATGCATAATTTTTATTATTTATGTAATTTTTTTTAAATTATTTATACGTCTAATTAATTAACAATGAATTTAATTAGGGCAATTTCGCAATTTAATTTAAATTTTAGTCAATTAAAAACAAAACGAAACATTCAGTTATATGCATTACATGTACTTATGCAGTAATGATTACTTGCATATTATGATTATTTATCAGTAATGATTATTAGGTCAAGTTTATTAATGATTGTTATGCTTCAAAGTATTTAAAGAACTTTTCACAACCAATCATCATCATAATATCCCAATATAATAATAATATTTATCATATCATGCTCGTATCATTTATCATAATATAGATCATGATTTTACTGATTATCACAATATCATATCATTCAAGTTATCCATTTATACAGTTAAGCAAATATTCTGATTATTTTAGTGTGTTGTAAATATGTTACAAGAAAATATCATTCATTTTTGATAAAAAAAACTGTGATAAAAGTAAGTCTGAAAAAAAAGAATGAAATATTCTGAAATAAGGTTTTTTAAATTTTCACTTTTTTCTTCATTTTCATTTTTATCAGTTTTGAAATACTTTCATTTAAATTTAATTTTAATTGGTGTAAATTTATAGGCACAGCATTGATTTAGCAGTAACCATTCACATTTTTTCATTACTGTTAAATGAAATGAAATTAACTTATAAATATGAAATGAAGAAATAACATTCATCTTTTATTTCTTTTATAGTATTTTTATTCTTTTTTTCTGGCCTTTTGCATATTTATTTTAGTTAATATTATATTTTAATTTATTTATTATATTTCTTTAATACATTTCATATATTATCACTAGCAAAACATTATTAAAAATTTTCTAGTTCATTCTCAAATATTAGTATTAAAAAACAAAAACATTAATAATTTTTAAGCTTAATTTTATTAATAAATACTGTAATAATCAATTAGCTTTGATAATATTATTAATATCAAATTTTGATGGAATTGTATAAACTTTTTAAAAAAAGTCTGAAAATTGAGTAATAATAATGCAATTATTTCTAACTTTTGAACATTTTTGTAATACTAATAGTTAATCGGAATAAATAGCAAAAATAGCTACCATAATAGTAATAATAATAATGATAATAATGATGATAATAGTGATTATAATGATAATAATGATGATAATAGTGATTATAATGATAATAATGATGATAATAGTGATTATAATGATAATAATGATGATAATAGTGATTATAATGATAATAATGATGATAATAGTGATTATAATGATAATAATGATAATAGTGATTATAATGATAATAATGATGATAATAGTGATTATAATGATAATAATGATGATAATAGTGATTATAATGATAATAATGATGATAATAGTGATTATAATGATAATAATGATGATAATAGTGATTATAATGATAATAATGATGATAATAGTGATTATAATGATAATAATAATGATATAAGTGATATGATTAAAGAATGAATGCTTAAGCACATTTGTATCTGTAATTTTGCATGTAAGTATTAATGGCCAGCAAAACGATAATTTTTTAATGGATGAAATGGTTGGTAAAAGTGATGGTAAATGATACATGGAAGGTATGCAAAAGCATCGATAGAAGGAAGTTTTTCTTTCTTAAGGCCTTTATATCTTTTCATTCCACATACACACATACACATACACACATACATACATACACATACATTGACATACATGTATGCATATACACATACACACATACACATACACACATACACACATACATAAATACATACATATATTTGCATTATAGATGGCGCCCTAAAGGTGAGCACTGATAAATTTATAATGCCGCTTTTTTCTTTTCATTCCATTCATGAATTAAGCACGGGAATAGCAGTGACTTTATTATAGAGGTTGTGGTGCTGAGGGGGCATTTCCCGCATTTATAATCACCGAAGAAGAGTGTAACTCCCAGTGGACGGGGAGAGCTTGGAAGGTCGAGGTGACATCGAGGTGACATCGAGAAATGCTTGATAAGGGAAGAAGCAATCAATAGGCTATTTTTCCTTTTCTTTTAATTCATTTCTACAAAAGTAAACCAATGTTGTACATGTGTATGTGGTGTGTGTGTGTGTGTGTGTGTGTGTGTATGTATATGTATGTATGTATGTGTGTATGTGTAAGTGATAAAATGAAAATAATCAAAATTAATTAACGAATAAGTAAAAAAAAAATAACTTAAACAATTTCATATTTCCATTATATCATTAATAGTCAATAAAAGCACTAAAAGATTATTAGTACAATTAGATCAAAATATAATGCAATGCAAGTAAATTAGACGAAAAAAGAAACATTTAGTAAATAAGTAAATAAATTTATTGTAAATGTAACTATAAATAATAAATAGAATAGAACGCTATTCTATTTTAATAATTTTATGTTATTTCCTGTGCAACAAAGAAGAAAAGAAGTAATTTTTTAGAAGAAAGAAACAAAAAAAGAAAAATTATCTCTCAAAAGTGATTAATCTTTGATCAAATAAACTTTTCGAAATTGAAATATGAAATGTATAAAATGAAATTCGTCAAGTTTTTCATCCATGAATTCAATTCATAAATTTTTTCCTTTTTTGCTGGAGAAAAACAAAAGAATTTCATTTTACTTGAAAAAGGATACCGCTAAATAAAATTTTTTGAAGATTAAAAAAAGTGTGGGAATATTATTGAATAAGACAGACTGACTGCTGGATGATCTCTTGTACTCTAACGAAGTAAAACTACTAATAGCACTTTTTTCTTTTCTTTTTTTTATAATTAATGATTGAATGTCCGGCTTGTTGCTCGTATGTTTTAAGGAACCGGATGAAACATAAAAATATATCAATATCTCTTTACCAGTAATTATCCGCTCTTCCGATATTTGCCGGTATAGCTGAGAATTGTGTTACTTATTCACCTTCAGTAGGAACATCTGGTACAGCAAATCTCAAAAAGAAATTACAAAAAAGTTACAAAAACTTTCCCTCTACCTAGTAGAATTATAACAGAGCAAAATAAATGATTGATAAAACAACAATAATTTATTTGGATGGTAATCGAAGCACAAAAAAAACAAATAATGAAATAAATAAATAAAAAGATTAGGCCGGATAGTGATATAAAGACCGGAAACTAACTTTAAAAAAAATTAAAGCTTACAAAAATAATTGGCGGAACAAAAAATGAAAAAAAAAAAGAGGACGCAGAAATTTAAGATGTATTTCTTTTTTTGTTATTGTCACAAATTTATAATGAATCAAAACTTTGATTTGACAGAAACTATTTGATTTGTAATCCTGTTAAATTCGAAGAATTTTGGAAAAAGTTCATTTTTTTATTTCAATTGCAAATTATTTGTGCAGAAACAAAACAAGTAACAAGGGAAGAAATATACTTTTTATTTCAGAAAAAATATAATTTAAAAAAAAAAGGAGAAATAATCAGTATAATATACAACTTGAATGACAAGACGGTTGTTTCAGAATATGGAAACAAAAGATTTGTATATTTTAACAGCAGAATTTTCGTTTGTAACTTGCTGAATCTTCCAACATCATTAAATTAACTGATTTTTTTTCTCTTATTTTTTTAAAAACAACAAATAACACATTCCAATAAAGAACCAAAATTAAAAAGCTAACTACTGAGAACACTTTCTGAGATAGACACCTTACTTTTTTAGAAAAAAGAAAATCTGAGTTTAACAGCGTGTTAAGTTGCATCAGGTAAACGAAGTTTCTGACTTAGGCACTTGTTTCTCTTCTTCGCTATTTTAAGCATTTCATATATTGATGATTTGGATGGCAATGGAAGATTCTTTTGAAAATCCTGAAGAAGACATTTCTAAAATCAGGTTATTAATTAACAAAGGTGTTAAAATTTACTGAATTCCGAAGTTTCGCGATGTAATGCTCCAGCAGTTCCAGAGGTGTTTAAGAACGAGTTTTTAAGAATGAACAATAAGAAGAAATTTAAGAATAGCTTTCTCCAAATTATAAAAAAAAGAAAGGAGACAAAAAATGCAGAAATTGAGATAGTGGAATTTAAAAGTTCTGAAAATTCATAAATAACCAACTTTCAACAGCCTCTGCGTATCGATGAAGGTTCCGCTAACATTGCTCAACGCATCAGATAGTTCATATTTAAGCTTCGTCGCATTATGAATGCTTTCCAGAGCAGCGCTACTTGTTACTGCGTAAATTCGATGTACATTGGCACCTCGTGATTTCTGACCAATTATAACAAATCGACCAATATCACCTGTGTTTAAAACATGCCTGAAAGTATGATGTTATGAATATAAGACTTTATAGAATTTTTCTGATAATTGCTTGTTTATCAACAAAGATTAGACTGAAAAACAGTACTGCTAGATAAAATTATACTAGAAAAAGCTGAAAATTCAATTACTGCAGAGATAAAAATTTATCGCATTAATTAATACATACGTCCCACAACATGGTTCGATGATATCTTGACCGAGCATTGCCGAACTCTCAACCGTAATGATCCGATATGAGCCGTTGGAGGCCTCCTGAATTTATAAACAATAAATGAATATTAAGAAAGTGAAGAAGAAAAAAATGTTTGGGAAACAAGATATGAAAGATGTGAAAATTCCATCGCTAATATTTCTAACATTCTGAAATTCGAAACATCGACAATTAATATGCAAAAATAAAAAGATGAAATTTTACCTGTGAAATGTCGAATCCAGAAAAATCCTTATGCAGAGAACCTAATTCTTCTTGCAAAATGTATTTCACCGTAACGTTTATGTTACTTTCAATAATCATATTCACCATTGCCATTACTTTTTCTATCTGTAATCCTTTTTGTTTATTTTGTTTCTTTAAAAGTTTATAATACATCATTTTACTGAACAACGATAAAAAAGCAATTATTCTACACGGCAGTCTATAACTTGATTTCCGGTAAAGTTATTTCGAAAATACAAATCTCTGTCTTCAGAAGAATGTTTAAAAACAAATCTTAATATTAACGAGCTGTCATATGCTTATACTTTTAACTAAATAGTACTCGATTTGAAACCACAGATAAGAGAATAAAAAACTAAACAAGCAAAAGCTTTGCATCATCGACCTTGGATTGTCAACTAAGAAGCTTCAGTAGAAAAAATGAAGGAAAACTTGACATTATGCAGAGAGAAGAGCAGATATATGCATTAGCTAGTAAACAAAGTTGCTGACTAACTGTAAGAACGAAAAGCAAACCTTTTCAAGAGCGATTTTTTCGTCAGGAATAAAGAAATCAAAATGTAACTTATCAGGGCCAATAAATGAACCCATCTGACGGACTGATACACCAAATACTTTTTCGAGAGCAAAATGAAGAATATGGGTAGCAGTATGACCACACATTAACAAAAACCGTTGCTTCTGCAAAGATGAGAAAACATAGAAGTAAAAAAAAAAAAACTGTATTTCTCATGATAAGGGCTGAAGAGCGATTAGAAGTAACAATTTTAGAAACACTCTACACTCACAGGATCTATAATCTGCGTCAAGTTTACGCCTTTTTCCAAAATTTCATTATCTGCTACTTTCCCTGTATGAATGATGTAGCCATTTCGTCTTTTCACACTATTCACAATAAATACAGTATTCTAGAAAAAAAAAAAGACGAAAAATTATCATAAATAATAAAGACCCATAACTTTTTCATTTCAGATAATTAAACCAAATGATTATTTAAATAAAAATTATGTATGTTTCATAACAGAAATTCAAAAAAATGTTCTATAAAATCCATAATTTGAATGTGCTAATCACATTTAAATTATCTTGAAGGATGCCTCTGTCGTACAATTGCCCTCCTTGTTCAGCAAAAAAAATAGTCGAATCCATAACGACAGACCCTAATTCGCCTGGATTAAGCGACATTACATTTTTACCATTGACATCAAAGATTGCCACAACAGTACCTGTCCTGCTCGGGAATTCTGAAAATTCTACTTTTTCCATTTTTTGTAAATTTAGGTCTAAGCAAATCCGTCTTTTTTGTTTAAAAAGAACTTGTTAAGAAAGCTGAAGGCAAATGTATCTGTTATGCTTAATATAAAGTCTCATTTCCTTAAACACAAGGAACTGTGTCTCATCGGTTTTGGAGCCATTTAAAGATCAAAGTATGAAATAAATTGAATACCTTGATAATCTAAGTTTGTTCTACATCGATTTCACACAATATAAGTTTGTCTAGATTGATCAAAAAGCAAAAGTTACTCACCATACTTGCCCAATTCAATCCGTTCACAATAATATTTTTCTGAATCATTCGTTGGCTCTACACCATTCAGTATCATTTCTTCTAAATCGATTTTTTGCCAAAGCTCCTCTTCAGCTTTTTGAGCTTTCTAAAACTTCTTTCCACTAACAAAAAGATACAATTTATTGGCAGCGTGTTTAAGAATATTTTCTTAGAGATATACTATTTTATAAAAATTATCAACGTTAGAAGTCCCAGCTGACAGTGGAATATAAACAATAAACATAAGCGCCGCTCATATGCGCTAAGCTTTCCGAAATATAACTACTTTTATGTTTCTTCTCTTAATTCCCAATTCCCAATAGAGTGATTATAAAAGAGGGCAAATAGCAAAATTATCACCTAATACACAACATAACTGAAAAATTACTTGAAAATTAGCCAGACATTGTTGGAAGCTATCTACATCAACTTTCAACCCTTTTTCTCTACATATCTTTTGGGTTATTGACAATGGAAGACCGTAAGTTCCTGACAACATCCACGCAATTTCTCCTAAATAAACAGTAAACTGGTTGCATAATGAAAATATATGATCACATTTGTTTTTGGAAAAACAAAATATGTGAATGGGATGACAATGCACCATCTAAGGGTAAAATTTAATGTAATGCAGCACGTCTAACGGCAACTTAAATTTACAGTTTGCCATTAAACCTTTCTAGGTTATTTAATGCACAGTAGTCAATTAATTAAATCCGGCCAAATAACTTTTCGAGACAAAAACTATTGAGAAGCTGAAAAGAACAACGATACCTGACAGCACATGTTGCTGAGATGCAATATTATGCTCAAGTAATTTGCAGCCTTTGTCATAACTTCTCCAAAACAACTGTTCCTCAGACATAACCGTTTTAGCTATTACAGTTTCACAAGCTGCGACATTGTTGTACAGTAAAGTCTGAACGTGAACGGAAAAAAAATTTTTTGAAAGTCCATCAAAAATTATTCATTTTATTCACTTGAAAACTTAATTATATGACTGAACTTACTATATGATTAACAAAATCAGGCACTAAAGATGCTAACATCCCGCGTTCTGCACCAAGCGTGAGGGTAAAATTCAATGCAGCACGTCGCAAAACCCGTCGAAGATGATACCTGAGAGATACTGTATGAAAAAAAGGATACCATAAGAGTTCAACTAATAATTATAGAAATATTTCGAAACTTGACTGTTGAATTGACTGTTGCCAACAAAAGGCCAAAGAATTGTGAAAATGTGTACAGGAATAGCGCATATCACAAATAGAAAGAGAAATAAATATATGACAAAATTAACGAGGACACCTCTTACTCAACTTGTCGGTATTAAATATTGGATAGAAACAATAAACAGAAATAAAATATTGACACTTCATCATTAAAGAAATGCACCCTAAGAAGCAACCTAAGCAAAACGAACCCTCGATTTCGTGAACTAGGTTCGACACCGTCTGAAATCATAATACAAGCAGCACGAAGATGATCCGCGACAATTCGATATGCTGTGTCGATATCCCCCAGTTGTCCACCATATCCTCTAACTTTCGAATACTAGAAATTTGGAATTCAAAGAAAAAATAAGATCACTAGTGTACAAGACTTCAAGCAAAGATAAAATTTAAAAACTTTTAAAAGTGAACTGAAATTCGAAAATCCGAAAAACCAACCTTGTGAATAATTCTCATTAATGGAAGAAATAAATCGGTATCATAGGCAGAGTGTAATCCTTGGACAATACTCACTAATCGTTCGAAACCCATTCCGCAATCTATGTACAACGTTGGTAAACTACTGATTTTGCCTGATATATCCCTGTGATAAACTGTTCTGGACTGATACGGTATCTTATTCACTGCTTTTTGCTCATGCTTTCTAATTTTTTTAAATTCCAACAAGAAAAAATTTTGAAACTTTCCAGTAATGCTAAAATTTCTTCGAATATTAATAATGAAAGTAACAGAATCTTGAAAATACTACCTACTGAACTGCATAAAAACAAGATTCCAAATTTCGACTACTGTTGGATTACTTGAATTAACAAGTTTCTGTGCCTTTCGATTACCAATAAGATCATAATGAATTTCCGAACAAGGACCACATGGACCCGTCTGAGCCATCTCCCAGAAATTATGATTGGAACAAAAGCCAAGAACACGATCTTCAGGGACACTGCAAAAGATAAACCATGTAGATACCATTGTTTTTTCGAAACAAAATTTCTAATTATACCCTAATTTAATCCAAATATCGCGGCATTCACGATCTTCCTTTAACTTCATGCTTTCATCCCCACCGAAATAGGTAATATATAAGCGATCAGCTGGTATCTTGAGGACGTCTGTGAGGAAGTTCCATGCATATAAACATGCTTCCATCTGAAACGAGGAAATTTGGTGGGTTACTAACATGCAACCCTGATTATATATACTTCCTAATCATCTAGCATCAGTTCATTCCTTCAGCTCGAACAAATAAAAACCGCAATTAGGTACAATGAGTACAACAGTTTCTAGTTGTATAATACTACATTTCAAGCCTACTAATGTTATAAAAAATTACAAACGTGGAATTATTTCAATACCTTCAATGGAAACAAAATAAAAATTAGAATTTAAAATTCAAAACCTTTGAGTAGCCACCAAATGAATAGTTTCCAAGCATTTCGAAAAATGTATGATGTGTCAAATCACGGCCAACATCGTCGAAATCATTATGCTTTCCACCAATACGAATACACTTTTGCCAGTTAACAACATTACGTAAAGCGGCCAATTTGCCTTCTGTATATTTGGCACCCAGAAAAAGTGGCTTGAACTAAAATGGAAATATGTATATACATACTTTTCTTTTTTTTTTTTTTTTTTTTTGAAAACTCCTCATTTTGAAAACATGGAACAGTATTTAAGCATTTCCGAAATGCTTTATAAAAGTTAAGTAGGCATTTTTTTAAGAAAAATTTAAAGTATATACCTGATTCATCCCCGCATTAACAAATGTAACGGAGCTATCATCTTCTGGAATAACAGATGAAGAAGGCACATATGTATGATTATGTTCTTTGAAGTACTCTAAAAAAGATAAACGAATCTGTTGTGCCGATAAACGACGTATATGCACACGAAAACATGCAGTGGCCCAGATGTAATATGCAGTATTCGACCATAATTTATTCATCACGAATACATCACCAATTTCTGCAAAGAAAAAAAGGAAAATAAAAAGCAAAATGTAAATATGTTTCACTTGCACTTTTCTCCTCACACTTATATTTATTCTTTTATACTTATATCTATTCCTCTGCTTTTATTTTAGCTGATATCATAAAAGATAAGCATAAGTGTAGTATCAAAATATTACTGTTATATAACAAAAAAGATTACCAATATGTAATACTTTCCTTCACTTTCTGTCCGAATTAATTTCCCAGTAATTTGAAAATTTTCTTAACATCCACAAATTTTACTTTATATATACATATACTTTATATATACTATAAATACCTTATAAATACATATATACGTTTAACCAATCAACTCCATCACGTCAATCCCTGGAATTCATCACGTCTATCCATCACGTAACCATCAAGTGGTACCAGGGTAGGATCGAAATGAAATAATCTGTCTCACTGTATCATTTATCATTTTGTTAGTGAAATTCTCTCTTTCGTTTTCTTCAAAAAAAGAATAGAAAAGATGGTGGCCAAGGTGTGATGCAACAATGAGCCTAGTTAGTTGAGACTTGTCTAGGCCATTTATTATTATATTTGGATTCAGCTTTCACACACTTTCCACATTAAGTTTAATTTTATATTATTTAATGGAATAATAAAGGTAAGTGAATAATTTCTTCTTCATCTTTTGACATTCTTCCATTATTGTATGGAAATTAAATGCTGCATTTTAAATATATTACATTTTATGTATTACTGCTATATTTTCCAGTGAGATTTGACCAGGAAGAATTATTGTTTATTCACAAAATTATATAAACATGTATTGTATTATTTATTCTAACTTATTTGAAATTTAATTATTAATTTAAGTAATTTAATTACAGATCTAATATTTTTCAAATTTTATAGATTTTAAAATGAAAAATTTCAGTTGTTGTATTGATAAATTGAAATGAAGTATTAAATAAATTTATTCAATATAAATTTATAAATTATAATTTATTAAGGAATTGTACAAATATACTATTATCAATTAGTGATTTGAATGATATTATTTCAAATGACACATATTATGTCAATTTATTCGTCATCTTTGACTCCTTAATTACTTACTTAAACTTACTTATAGAATATTATAATTTTACAAATTGGTGTAAATTTACAATAACAAATTTTTCTTCTCACAAAAATATAAGCTAATAAATTTAACTTATCATATCATATTCTATTCTGATTCTGAAAAATATTACTATGTATTTCGAGAAGAAAAGAAAAAAAATGAAATAAAAAATTCATGAAATTTTGACCATAATTTTTCATTTGAATTTTTTTTTTTTAAAAAAAAATCAATAAATAAAAAGGAATGAAAACTTGAAAATTATGAATTGGATTTGTTTCATTTTGAAGAAAAAGCACAATTTATCGAAAAATATCTTTGAAACCATTCTAAAATTTATGTTTTTATGCAGGAAAAGGGTTTTTTTTCTTTATTTCCTCTTTTTTTGATAATATAAAAATGGACTAATCTAAAAAAAAAAATTAAACAAAATAATAATTTCACAAAAATGTATCTTTTATTCAATCAGTAAAATTAATAAACTAAATGATAATTGATTACATTATCAGTCAAGCAACAGATCATATGTAGAGTATACCGCTACTACCGTTACTCTTCAACTGATTCACGTCTTGCAACCGGAACCGGAAATCCATGTTTCATATCCTCTTGAGGCCATTCATATGTTACATCAATGAGCTCATCATATTCTACCGAATAAATCTGCGAACGGATATATTTTTCTAAATCTTCCGGTTCCGGATATAACGCAGCTGTTCCATTCTATAAAATATTGAAATTATTCTCACAGAAGCAATAATACTATAATAATAATTTTGATTGCTATAAAATAGTTACTTAATTAGATGCAAAGTGATAAGCATAATTAATTTGCAATTATTTCCTCAAATGCTTGATAAGAATCTTAGTTGATAATTTTATGAATAATTGTTTTAATGAAATTCACATTGCATCATATCATCCAATGATAAAATATTTACCTTTTCCACTAAGTCAAAAAAGCTTTCAAATTCAATAAAATTCATTTAAAAATTCTATTGAAATATTCACTAATATAATTATATAAATTTAAAATTTAATTCAAAAATACCGCATAGCAATGCTTTGCAATAGCCAATGCTATTTTGATCGAACATTCACGAATATATTTCAAATTTGGATAAATTCGACCAAATTTAATATCTTTTGCTGTTACCATATCTGCTATTTGCTGAAAGTCTCTTATTATCAGTTTGAAAAACAAAATACAACAAAAAAAAAGAAAAATAAAAAAAATAAAAATTTTACAATATATCTTATCCCTCTCTATCTCATTAATTAATTTTAATCTTTAACAATAATAATTTACGGTTACAAATAAATACAAATACCGAGTAGCAATCAAGAATAATTCATTATTTACCCGCAATTTACTCAAGCCGAGCAGTAATCAAGAATTTACCCGAGCAGCAATTAAGAATAATTCATCATCGATATGGCGTACTTGAAATAATATGACACCCAAAGCTACACCAGGAAATACGTATGAGTTATTGCCCTGACCCGGTTTATATAATTTACCGTTTAATCGGAGATCCGGAAATGGGCTACCACTAGCAAATAGTACCTTACCCTGAAATTTAAATTCAAAAAATAAGTAAAAAAAAAGAAGAAAAAGAATTTCCTTTAAAAATAATGTAAACATTTGCATTATGTAAAAATGAAAGCAAAATCAAATGGATGACAAACTATTATTATTATTATTATTATTATTATTATTATTATTATTATTATTATTATTATTATTATTATTATTATTATTATTATTATTATTATTATTATTATTATTATTATTATTATTATTATTATTATTATTATTATTATTATTATTATTATTATTATTATTATTATTATTATTATTATTATTATTATTATTATTATTATTATTATTATTATTATTATTATTATTATTATTATTATTATTTATTATTATTATTATTATTATTATTATTATTATTATTATTATTATTATTATTATTATTATTATTATTATTATTATTATTATTATTATTATTATTATTATTATTATTATTATTATTATTATTATTATTATTATTATTATTATTATTATTATTATTATTATTATTATTATTATTATTATTATTATTATTATTATTATTATTATCTTATTATTATTATTATTATTATTATTATTATTATTATTACTATTATTATTATTATTATTATATTATTATTATTATTATTATTATTATTATTATTATTATTATTATTATTATTAATGTCACTGCTAATAATCAATATTAACTACTACTTGTATTATTATTAATGTTATTGTTATCATTCATAAACTATTGTTATTTGCTAATAAAATGAAAGTTATTAATTTTTTTACTTTAAAAATAAGTAAAAAAAATTGCAAATTTCTCAAATTTTCTTGATAAAGCAAACATTTGTATGTGTAAATGCTTCTTCAGCAGTACATTCCGATTTATTTGTCGGATTTGACAAAGCAAAAATAATTGGATGTTCGTTAATCTTTGACATTTCTTTAATTATTTCTTCCGAAAATGAGCCTGATACGGTTGAAACACCAATTATACCTGTTGGTTGTACTTTTTTGATTACCTGTAAAAATATCATGCAGTAAATACATAACTTATACTTTTATCTCTTCCACTATTTTCTGATTTTTAATTTCGATAACATTTTAAAATTATTCAAAAAAAACCTCTTTCCGTTTTCCTTCTTCTAAATCTATTAACAATAAACAATTGCGTTCTTTTTTTCCTAAATTCATTTGTAATAAACAATATTAGATTTGAAGAAAAAAGGAAAATTTACTAAGAAATAAAATAACTTACATCGATTAAATCTTTAATACTTTCCATATCCTTCGCATATAATTGATGTTCATCTTTTAAATTTGGACTACTTCTTGTTATTAAACCTTTACTATTCATTAAATAAATCCTTTCATGTGCTTCAATTTCACTTAATCCTTCGTGCTGCATTTGTAATACACATAAGTCAGCAATACCTGTCGCTGCCTGAAAAGAAGAAAAAATTTTTTTCCAATTTTTAATCTCTTCATTCATTTTTTTATTGCTATATGCAAAAAATTTTATTTATTCATCCAATATTATTTCACAGTTTTCCTTTTCAATTTTTTTGATATCTTTTAGATGAATTTTTTAAATCATTATTAGTTGTTATCTTTTAAAAATGAAATAAAAACAAAGAAAATAATTGATAAAATATTATAAAAATAGAGTAGCAGTTTAAAAATGATTAAAATGGATAGTTATTCCTATAAATTAAACAAACAAAAAGCGAATTTATGCTTCTTTTTTCTGTTTCAAATTAAAATTACAAACCGCTCCAGCGCCCAAAAATACAAACGTTTGTTCCGACATCTTTTTGTGTAGAATTTTGTTACATGATAATAAACCAGCAACAACAACAGATGCTGTTCCTATAATCAAATATATCATTTAAATTTCAAAATTTCATAGTCCAAAAGAAATGTGATGGATCAAACCGATGAGAACTAATAATTTAATTATTGAAAATCCCAACTAAATCGCTGTGGACTATTAAATTAATTATTAAAAAGTCAAATTAAACTTAATTGTTACAAAAAAAAAAAATCCAAAACTATTATTTCAATTATTGGAAAATCGAAATTAGAAGAGAAATAAAGGAATGTTTTATTTTATGCAACCGTACACTAACTATTTCATTTTACAACAAATAGCGCTCATCGATCCATTCGATCGGTTAATTTCAAAAATATATTTAATTGTTAATTGTATATTTAATATACCACCATGGCTATTTTGAAATTATGCCGAAAAAATTTTTCACTATTTGACAAAATTATAATACTTTCAAATAAAATTCAATACTAATAATTTGTTAATTTCATTACTATTAATGAAATTAATTAATTAGTTGTATATATTTAATTACTTAATTTCATTACTATTAATGAAATTAATTAATTAGTTGTATATATTTAATTACTTAATTTCATTGCTATTAATGAAATTAATTAATTAGTTGTATATATTTAATTACTTAATTTCATTACTATTAATGAAATTAATTAATTAGTTGTATATATTTAATCACTAGCAAACAAAATATGATAATATTATAGCAAATATTTACCTTGTATATCATCATTAAATGTACAATATTTATCACGAAATTTCTCCAATAAACGGTATGCATTTGCATTAGCAAAATCTTCAAATTGTATCAAAACTTTCTGTCCAAATCTAAAATTATTATTATTATTATTATTATTATTATTATTATTATTATTATTACTGTTATTACTATTATTATTGTTACTGATTATTACTAGTTATAAATAATTATTAATTATTATCATTAATTTACTATAATTTGTGAAATATCAGTTTTATTATCAGTTTAACATGAAAACCTAAGGTAAATGAATAAATTTAATATTGAGAATATGCCTATAACATTAAATTTAAATCCATTGAATCATTTAAATTCCAAACTAATAGTCTGTGTAGTTTAAAACTTTGTTAAATGCTTAATTTAATTACCGTTTAGCGCATGCCTTCATAAAATTTTCGATGAATGAATCGTATTCCTTCCCACGGACACGTTTTCGACGTAAACCAATATAGAATGGATCTTGTAAAAGTTCCTTTAAAAAAAATTATAGGTAAAAACTTTCTAATTTATTCACAATTTCCAATTTTATCATTCATTTATTTGCTAACTAAAATTAATGATATCAAAAATTAAACGTTAAAATTGAAATTTAATTTTTTCTCTGTAATACAAAAAATGAAATTTAATACCAAATTATACATACTTCCTTATTTGTGCCAACATCAAGCAATACCGGAAGACACCAGCGCGGTTGCACACCGCCAAGTGCCACGTACAGGGCAAGTTTACCTACCGGAATACCCATGCCGTAGGTGCCCAGGTCACCCAACCCAAGGATTCGCTCCCCATCTGTCACAACTATTGCCTGAAAGTTATGCAATGTTATTGCTATTTAAAGAAAAAATTGCACCAGTCATTTCTCATTCATTCATTACTTATCAAATTTAAAATCTTTTTTTCACTTTTTTTTAAAAAATTAAATTTTATAACATTTACAGAAAACATTTACAAATTATTTGTATTAAAAAAAAAAGAAAATAAATAAATAATTCATTAATGTAAAAATTTGAAATTTTAATATGATGAAGAAAAAAAAAAAAAGGAAAAACCCTTACCCGAACATCTTTTTCTGGCCAATTACTAAGAATGTGATGAATTTTACTGATACTGTTATCATTAATAGTAACATAAATACCTCTGTAAAAAATGAAAACGAAATTAATAATCAATTTTTAATCGATGTTTCTTTTTATTTTTGCTAATTTATATATTATAATTAATATATAAATATGAAAAAGTAATTTATCATAATTTTTACAATTTTTTCAAATTATTACTTTGTTTCTTTCCATAAAAAATTTTCATTTCTTCTTTTGCTTTTTTTTCTTTTATTCACTTTTTTTTTTTTTTAAAAATAATAACAACGAAAGAAAAAAGCAAAACAAAAAACTGAAAATACTTTGGATGACGATAAATATAACCGAAATTTTGACATGCAAGGCCAACAGTTGGTGTATAAACAATTGGCATTAACTCTTTGACATGTTCACAAACAACACGATAGAATAGCTTCTCGTTACGATCCTAAAAATATATTGCAATTATTTCTTTTTAAAATAAACTCATTTGTTTTTTAAATTCACTTTTTTCAATCCATTATATTATTTATTTATTTTTAATATAGATTATTTCAAAATAAACTAATATCAATTTAAAAAAATTTGTTTCATTATCATTAATTTAGATGAATTATTTTGAAATCAAAGAAATAAACTAATATTAATTAGAATTTAATTTTTTACAATGAATTATTAAAAACATAATTTTATTCCTTTCCATTTTCATTATCATTATCAGTTGAATGAAATTTTTTGCAACTTTTTTTTATTTTTCCTTGAAAAAGAAAGAATTAATAGGATTAAAATTTAATTATTAAAATTCAAATTTAATGCTTCTCATTTTGATTATTAATTATAAGTTATTCGTTCATTTGTTTAATTTTTGTGAACTGCCTTTAACATATCAAGAGAAAATTAAGGTAACATCACCATAAAAAATTATTAAAATTTAACTTCAGTATACCTTTCACTTTCATTACTGTCATTAAAATTAGATAAGCCCTTTTTTTAAATTTTGTTAATATAAAAGGATAGGAGAAAGAACAAAAGAGAGATAGATTATATTGTTATGATAAGTGTACAAGATAAAATTCTATCAGATTTATGATGCTAAGAAGCATTTTATAAAATATTTTGATATTGAATTTATAACTATAACAAAATATAACGAAAGAAATTTTCTTTTTTTGAGACTTTTTTTTAAATTATATTTACTCCTCCAAAAAATATACTTTTATTTGAATATTCAAAAGTAAATGAATGATTAAGTAATACTTGTAAACCATCTAATTGTACATAACGAGCTAAATCATTTGGCTGTTCTCGAAGTTTCGAGATAATTCGATATGCTTGCTGCTCTTCAGTCATAAACGCTGGCGGTAATAAACCATGGATGCCGAGATATTGCCGCTCGTATAAATTAAATGCCATACCCTAAAATTTTTTAGTATAAATTTGAATTATTCCATGTTTTCATAGGTTTCTTTTAGTACAAAAAACAAAAAAATAGTATAAAAAAAACGAAAAAAAAGTAAAGAAAAATAAAGTGTGCATAAATTAGAAATAATAAATTTAGTATTTAGCAAATTCTACTTTATACCTTTTCGTTATTTATAAGAATAATATAAATAATCCGTTTTAATCGATCAATAATATTAGAGTAAGTTTTTTCCTTTTGTTTTTTAAATTGTTAATTGATGGGATGAGATAAATTTAAGTAATTAATTAATTAACGAAAATTAATTTCTCTCTTTTAAATTTTAGCATTTCAAAAATTTCACTTTTCTTACCTTACTGTAACGTGATGATTTAATTAAATCGATACCACGCATCGGCGGTATTACTCTTTCTGGTCGATATAATTTATATAATTCCAAATCTTTATCAGTCATTGATGCGACATCTACCTTATCAGGTATTACTGATGCTGTTGAAAATATTCGAGCAATGCTGCAAAGCGGAATTTTCTTAATATAAAGAAGGAAAGGTTAAAAGAATGATTGAAAAAAAGAAAAGAAGAATTAGATAATACTCAAATGAATTTTGAATTGAAAGTTGATTTTTTTTAAAAATAAATTTTATGGAAATTACGGAAATGAAACCTATTATTGCTTATTCAATCAATATATTAAAATATTTTTATTTCATTTGTTTTCTTCCTTTTCCATATTTAATTTTAATTAATTTTATTTTCTTATTTAAATTAAATCCTAAGAATTTATTTTTTCTTTCTTTTTTATTTTTGATATATTTTTAGTTAAGACAAACTGTAATGTATTGCGTCGTACAATGCTAAATATATTGTTTGAATACCAAAGTAAATGCATTATCGTTGATGGCGTATTATTAGTATTCTGCAAATCATATATTTACTATTTTTTTTTTTAATTTGGAAAATTATTTTTAATATAATTATGTGTAAAGTAATAATAACATATGATAATTTCGTTGAATACAAAAATTTATGAGAAAAACTATTTAAAGTAATCTTAAAAACTCATATAAAAAATGTTGTATGATAAATAAATGAAGAAAATATGAAATGAATAAATTCATATGATTCATTTCCCATTTATTTATTTATTTATTTATTTTTTTAACACATATAAAATGAAACACTATGCTTTCCTCTTTTTTTCATTTCTTTATTCATCATCCACTCAATTTTTATGATAAATTAAAAGAAATGCTGCTGTAATGGAGTTCTAATTAAGGATTATGTAATTAATAATAAAGAATAATTCTGCAATTATTTGTTTTTGCTTTAAAAAAAATTAAAAAATTTCACTTATTATATTTTTTCTTCATATTTAAATATTCTTTACAAAATGAGCTTAAATATTATTAATACATTGATAATGATGACAAATATCACTTAATCTACACTGATAATGATTACGATTGATATTGGAAATAGTAGTACTGGTATTGGTATTGAAAATAGCAAAATAATATTATTGAGCTATTGACGGAGATAGTGATAAAAAGCGTTGTTAGGAGATGTTTCTACATTGATAACGATGATAACGATTACAAGTGATGTTGAAAAGAACGAAATATTATTAGTGCACTGTTGACGATAATAATGATAACAAATGATGTTAAATGATTAAATGATGCTCGTACATTGATAACGATGATGACAGCGATTACGATTGATAATGATAACGATGACAATGATAAAAGCATGAAATAGGTTGAAATGAAGAAAAATAAGAAGAAAAAAGAGCAATGAACATTAATAGTATAACAAATATCATTACAAATAACATTTCTCACTTTTTTCTTTAAAAAAAATGAAACGACGGACAAATAACTAAATAACTTCCTTCTATCTTTGTTCTTCCTTTTCACACTAATAATAAGTTTAATGTAGAAAAAAAAGCAAAAAGAACAAATCGCTTGTTGCTGAATCACTAAATTAAATATTATTTTCAAAATTTGCTAAATTGCCAAATATTATCAATCCCATTTGCATCTGCTAATCATTAATTAATTAATTTGTATTTCTGTCTATGACATAAGTTTAGATATAAACAATTCAAATATAAGCATTTGAATGTGTATATGTATACTAATTTATACACAATTACTGAACATTTACATTATTCAATTCAATTATCAAATGAATAAAGCGATATCAATGATAGAAAATTTATTTTCTCCTTCTTTTGCTATTCTATTTAACTTCTACATCTCAATGTTCTTTTTTCTTATGTATTTCATAAAAAATTAAAAATGAAAGAATAAAACTGAGAGAAATAAATATCGTTAATTAATAAATTATAAATTAAGTTTCTTAACATAATTCAATAAATGAGTCATTTTTGCTGATAGTACAATTTGTTGTTAATTATTCTAATTTGAAATAATCTAAATTAATATTTCTAAATCAAATAAATATCATGCTAAATTCTAATTAAATTAATCATATTTTCATAATAAATAATAGCTCGATAAAGCAAATTTGATAAAGAACAAGGAAACAAGAATAGGTAATAAAGGCAATAAATTAAGTTTATATAATTTCATCAAAAGTTTTTGAAAACTGAAATTAAAATGAAAAATGAATAATTCGGATATATCACACTTCGTTCATCTTTTTTCTTTAAATAATTAAACTAATTATCATATTTTTCTTCACATGGGATAGGGTAGCCTTGGACCATATCATCTTCTGGCCAATCGTATGTGTAATCAATCATTTCATTGTATGCTGTTTGGTACATTTGACTACGCACAAAATTTTCCATATTTGCTGGTTTGGGATAAAGCGCTGCCAACTTTTTCTGTATGTTTTAAATCACAATGATTTGATTAAACCATATGTTATGCTACTTCAAATAAAGTTAAAACCATCATTGTTATGCTTAAATTAACAAAAGGATTTATTTACAATCATTTAACAATGTTATTATCATAAATTAAGCTATCGAAAAGTTAAAATTGTTTTAAATAATTTATGAATTTCGAATTGGAAAATATTAAACAGATTACTAAATTAAAAAAGTTATTTTTGATGTTTTATATAATTGGCTGATTACTTTCATCAACAAGACTAAAAAAAAGAAGAAATCAAAATAACTTTATTCTTAAATCTAATCACTTCTATTTTTTCAATTGATAATACTTGAAAAGTATTTATTAGCTTACTTCATAGCTATACCTTCCAATAGCCAAAATTATTTTAATTGAAACTTCTCGAATATGATTAAAACTTGGATATAAACGTTTATGTTTAAAGTCATCCTCATTAACACATTTGGCTACTTCCTACAATATGATATTATGATAATAAAATATCAAAATACTATCTCAGATTAGAATATTAAATTACTCAAATGAATAATTAAATTTTAATTGTTTAATAGTTATTAGAATATTAAATTACTCAAATGAATAATAAAATTTTAATTGTTTAATAGTTATAATTATTATACCCAATAAGATTAGTCAATATTTGATGTTAAATAGAAAGTTTAAAATTTTATCACAATAAATGTTTCTACCATATTTGATAAAAAAGAAAAAAAAAAGATGAGAATAGATAATAAAAGCAAGTAAACAAACCTGTGCAGCTATTAGAAATATTTCATTGTCGATGTGTCGAATTCGAAATAAAATAGCTGCCATACCCACGCCGGGAAATATATATGAATTATTACCTTGCCCAGGCTTATATAATTTTCCCTTGTAGCTCACATTTTCGAATGGACTTCCACTTGCAAATAATACTTCACCCTAACAAAAAGAAGAAAAAAACAAAAAAGAATAAAGAAAAGATATCAATTATTATACTATATTTTTTATTAATTAAAAAAAGGTGTAAATTAAATTTAAAAGACAAAATTCTTTTAAATATTATTTAAAATAAAGAAAAAAGGCATACATTTGTCCAATGAATTGCTTGTTCTGCAGTACATTCAGCATTTTTTGTTGGATTTGATAAGGCAAAAATGATCGGTTTTAAATTTAATTCTGCCATTTGACGAATGATTGCTTCATTGAAAGCACCTTGCACTGTTGATGTGCCAATTAGTACAGTTGGTTGGATAATTTTAATTAACTAAATAATTTCTTTGAGAAAAAAGAAAAATAATAGTTCGTATTTGCGATTAAGAAAAAAAGTTTTGAAAATATTACAATGAATTATAGTTTTAATTAATTTTTTCTACTTTTTTTATTCTTTTGAAAAATAAAAAGTTTGCATAAATGCACTGAAATGTTTTAATTTTAATTTTACTTTTTTAGATATTCATAAAGAAAAAAGAATTTTTTTGCTAACACTTTTTTGTAAAAAATAAAAATCCTAAGTAAATTTTTTAAAAAACATTTCAATATTGCAATTATCTCAAAATATTTCGATTGAAATAATTGAAATAATTTTTTCAGCATCCCAAAAAATTTTCATAACATTTGTTTTTGCAAAATTATTAATAACCTGAAGTAAATTTCCTGTTTCCGGCATAGCTTTAGCATACGGTTTATGTTCCTTTTCCATGTGCAAACGATTTTGCGTAATTAAACCTTTACTGTCCATTAAGTAAATACGTGAATATGCGTCATTCCGTGTAATACCTTCTCTTTCCATTTGTGCAGCACACATTTCTGCAATTCCCATTGCAGCCTAAAATAATAATAATAATAGTTTTCGAATAAAGAATAAGAATGCTAGGTAAGAATTAATGTAATTTTGTAAAAATTTCGTAGAAAGTTTAGTTTACAACAAAATTTCATTAATTAAACTTTACAATATAATAAAAAGTTTAGCTGAAAAATTTCAATTTTCTGATATATTATTTAAGAGAAGAAAAAAAAAAAACTCACAGATCCGGCACCAAAAAAGACTATTTTTTCAGCAGATAACCGTCTTCCGGTATGTTTATGACATGCTAAAAGTCCAGCTAATGCTACAGAAGCTGTACCTAAAGAAAACAAAACAAAAAGTCCGATACGATTTTAAATTTTTGTTTCAAATCACAACAATTGAAAAAAAAAAATGTTAGATGATATATTGTTTATAAATATATGAAATAGATGGACTACGTGTTGTACGTCACAAATATAAATCATTTATGAAATAAGTAAAATAAATCCTAAATGAATAAATAAATAAATATATTCATTATAAAAATGGTATAAAAACTGATCTTCCATATTTATATATGGAAGATCGCATCAAATAATAAATGTGCAAAAGAAAAATGCTCGACATTATTTTATAATAATGATAATTATTATTATCATTATTATTATCACTATTAAGAAACCTTGTATATCATCGTTAAAAACACAAAATTGATTTCGATATCGTTCCAAAAGATAATAAGCATTTCGTCTTGCAAAATCCTCAAATTGAATTAGTAAATTTTGTCCAAATCTAAACAAAACAGCAAAAAAAAAGATTTGATTGTCAAGTAACATGAAATTAAAAAAAAAAATGAAATGAAAAAATGAAAATAAGAAATGAAAATGGAAAAGGCAGAAAAAAGAGAAAAGAAAAAAATTTTTTACATTTTAATTCTATTAGCAATCTAATACTGATCTAATATTAATCAAGACATGACATATTTACTTAGATTGTAAATCTAATATAGATCAAAATAACAATTTATGTAAGAATAAATAAACAAATAATTTAAATTGGTGATATTAAATTTGATAAATTAAAAGGAAAGTTTATAATATTTATTTGGCTGTCAATAAAAATTTGTATCATTAAATATATTTATTTCAGTATTACAAAAAAAAAAAAAAAAAATCTTTTGTATCATTTACAGTTTTCCTCTTTTTTCTTCTGATCTATTTAGCAAAGATTAAAATTGTTAAGCAAATTTATTTTTCCCTTAAATCAATGCATTATTGTAAATCACAAATATTCAAATTGATCAGTATTAGAGCTTAATTAAAAAACTAAAAATGATAATCATTTCCTTTATCAAAATCTTAATATCTGATATTTGATAATCAATTAAGAATAAATTATAACAAAAAATTCGATATCTTTCTCTTTCTGTGCTTTTCTCCCTCTCTTCTCTCTCACTCTCTTTTCCTCTTTTTACTTTTGTTAAAATATTTTACATAAATGATAATTTATCATAACTTTTCATTTATGACATATTTACTTATCTTATAAAGTAAGTAATCAATGAAAGTTATGCATTTTCATCTGAAATATATAATTGAAAACTTAAGGCTTTTCCAGGCAGTACACTTTCTCTTCATTTGAAATAAATTTAAAATTAAAAAGATGAAAGACTTTTTTGTGCATGCTTTCATAAAGTTATCAATAAAACGATGATATTCCTCGCCACGTATTCGTTTTCGACGTAATCCAATATAAAATGGATCTTTTAGTAAAGTCTGCAAAAAATAAATAAATAATAAAAAACAAAAGAAGAACAAAAATAAGCAAATAAATATATTTCTTAAGAAAAATTAATCACTTTTATTAAATTATTAGAAATTTAACATGACTTTTTAAAAATAATAATAATTAAAATATATTAATAATTAATAATTAGTCAATAATACTCAATATCTGTAAATAGAACACAAAATATTTTATTGCAATGATGGAAAAAAGAATGAGAAAATATTGAAATTGCAGCAAAAAATAAAGTAAAATTAAAAAATTTTTTTCTGTTAAATAATTTTAGCTAAAAAATATATCAATGATAAAAAGTTTAATTTAAACAGTAAACAAATTATGTGACAGAATATTGTGACTGTGTATGAATTAGTAAGAAATTTTTATTTCCAACAATATAAATAAGAATTATGTGCAATTTATTTTCTGTAAGGTTAAAAAGAATTTTTCATTTAAAAATTTTATTTTATTTTAAATTAAAATGTTGAAATATTTTAAAGTTTTCAAACAAGTAATGTTAAATTTAATTTTAGGAAACCAAAAAAAAATAAAGAAAATAAATTAAAAACTTTGCTTCATTATCTGTTCCAACATCCAATACAACAGGTAAACACCATTTTGGTTGCACACCAGCAAGGGCAACATAAAGCGATAATTTACCCACAGGTATACCCATACCATAGCAACCCAGGTCACCTAAGCCAAGAATTCGTTCACCATCTGTCACAACAATTACCTAAAATATATAAATACTATAATTAAATAGCCCATGAAATAAAGGAAAAATATGAATGCAAATATCATAAAGGTATAAACAAAATATTTAATTAATTAACAAATTTAATTAATTGCTTATAGAGAATTAAATAGGTAAAAAAAGTGAAAATTTTCAATCCTTTTCTTGAATAAAACTTTGAGGTCTTAGTGCTAAATCAAAAAAATTAGCGCAACTATTGTCGATTGTTATACTTATGAAAATATCATCCAGTGGAAAATTAAAGATAAATTTCAATTTTAAATTTCAAATATTAATAGAAAAGAATGTAAGTAATTTTAATGAAATTAATTACTATTATAATTGCATAGAGCGATTTAAAATAATGTTATAATTGATGTTAATATGTGATGTGTGTTGTAAAATTACTTCAAATATAGATTTGTCCTAGGAGAAATTTTATATTTGAAATATAATTCGATATTTGCATAAATGAAATAAAGTACCACTAACACGAATATCTATTTCAGGCCAATTTGAAAGAATATGATAAATTTTGCTAATGCTATTATCATTTATTGTTATGTATAAACCTCTGCAAAATTGTATATATCATTTCAATGTTTTATAAAAAATAAATTTTAATTTTTGTTCAAACTGCTTCTGAATGAAGTAATTAACACTGACAAAAATTTTATTATCATTTTGTATTCTTTAAAACATTCATCAAATTCTTTTTTAATTAATAAAATATAAATGCTGAAGGACAAATAAAGAAATCAAATAATATTATCCGATTTGTCTTTTAACTTACTATCAAAAGACATAAGAAAGAAATGGTAACATATTATAAGCTATTTTTATAATTAATAATTTTGAAAAATTTTTGATTAAAATTTTATTACTTTGGTTTTCGATAAATAAAACCAAATTTTTGGCATGCTAGACCAACAGTTGGCGTATAAACAATGGGAAGAAGTTCTTTTACGTGATCGCATAGTACTCGATAATATAATTTCTCATCACGATCCTTCAGAGAAATTTAATTTGCATTAATATCACGCATAAAGATACTAGCAGTAATGTTAGTGATCTTATCATAAACGAGCATTATTTAACAGAATTTAATTTTTTAATTTAAAAAAATGAATTAACTCAACGACCATAAAAATATACCACTACTTTTGTATCTTTTTTTCCAACCTGTAAACTATCTAACTGAATGTATCGAGCCAAGTCATCAGGTTGTTGTCGAAGGTTGGTGATAACTCGGTATGCTTGTTGACTCTCAGTCATAAACGCTGGCGGTAGTAAACCATGGATTCCGAAGTACTGCCGCTCGTATAATGTAAATGCCATACCCTTTAGCAATTATTAACTTTCAGCTTTTGCTTTTGCTTTTTTAAGAAAAGAAAACTAAATTGCATTTTACAACTAATACTATGTAATATAAAGTGACCGTTTCAGAAAAATTAAAAGATGGAAAAAAAGGAAAATGCAATTTTGATAAGAATCAAATATGCTTGCATGAATGAGTGGATAGGTTGGAAAGTTGAAAATATTAATGTAAATTAATGTAAATGAATAATAATATAATTTAAGGAGAATTAATAGTGTAAATAACTTTGGAGTAATAAATTATGGTATAATTTCCAGGACACGAATGTAAATTAAGGGAAATATAATTAATTTTTAGGTGAATAACAAGAAGTATGTGTAATCTGTGTGAAATAATTAATTTGGAAGTGTTGTTTAAAATGATTAAAATAATATCATTTTATTATTATTACTGTTATTATTGATATTTTTTTCAACAATTATTGATAATTTTACTAATCAAAATACAATAAAACTTTTTGGATATATTTAAATATATTCATTTCATTAGTAAGGAAATAATTTTTATACAGAAATTTAATTTGCATTTTAATGCGAAATTTTAATATGAAACTAATAAAATAATAAACTATGCGAATTTTTTTTAATTGCTTTTTTTTCATTTTAAAAAAACTTTTAATGTGAATACTTTTTTAGTTATATTTTTTCTTCTACTATTAAATATTAAGTTTGAAATAAAAAAAAAGGGAAGAACTATACGATATACCTTACATGTACGATTATCTTTCAAAAGTTCAATTCCACGTTTTTTAGGTGTTTCACGTTCTTGACGATATAGCATGTATAAGTTAATATCATCCGCTGTATGGCACCATTCCGGAATTGGCTCATCCGTAAACGGATGCACACCGTTCCGTTTATTTTTTGCTGTTCGCTTTGAGATATAACTTTAATTTTGATCTCATTAATAGTGCTTTTCTGCTTTTCTTTTTTTACAATCAAAAAAAAGTATTAAACATAAGAAAATTATGCTCTAATTCAAATCATTGTGAACAAGAAAAAAAGAAAAACCAAATATATTTTAGATTAATTTTAAAAAACTTAGGTAAAAATTTATTACCTAAGGTATGGCACTATACTTCGTTTTAGAGGAATCTTTGAAAATACCATTTTTGATAGCGACAAATGTGATTGTACCTACATTAATAATTCATTAACGAGATATAGCACAATAAAGAATAATTTTAAAATTTCAAAAATCCTTTTTGTATATTGCTGAATTCTTTCAAATTAACAACGATAATAGATAAACAACCAACCATCGCTGATATAAAAATTTGAGAGTAATATTCAAAAAGTTTTTTTTTTTTCAAAATTACATTAAGAAATTTGCAACAGATGACGGTTATAATTTAATTTGCATTTCAATAAATTTATTAAAAAATTTGTTCAACCAAATTTATTTAATTTAGTACGTTATTCTGAATATTTAAAACATACCAATTCAAATTTTTTTGTGATCTCTATTACTGCTAAAATTAAATACACAATGAATACTTAATACCTCTATATCCATCAATAAATTCAAATCTACAAATTATTATCAATACTAGCATCATACACGTATTATCCTAACAGACTGATAAATTAATAAATTAACAAAAATTTAAACGAAATTCAAAAGAGAAAAGATTTAATTCACACATTTAAATTATTTTAAATTGTAGAGTTAATCACTTTCCACTTGAACCAAATATTTCTGGCATTACAGACTTTTTCTTACACTATTATATACTTGAAAATTATGAGAATTAATTGGAATTAGCTTTATGTTATTTAATCATAGAAAATTTTAAACTTGAACAAAACTTACTAGAATATTTTTTCTTCTTAATATCATAAAAAAGCATAGCATGAAGCTAAAATTAATATAGAAGAAAAAGAAACAAATCAAAAGAAGAATTGATTAGTTTAGTTCGTCGTATAAATAAACTTTATTTTAAACGATTACCAACAATTCAGGTTTCAACAGAGATCATTAGTGATATACTAACCTAGAAAATAATCATTCATTGGTTCGTAAAAAGAGACAGACAGATAATTAGCTAAAAAAAAAAACAAAGCAACAAAAATTTTAAAAATGAATTATAATTTTGAATATGTTAAGATCTCCAAAATGAAATGAAACAAGAAAGCAGTAAGAATTATTTAATTAATAATACATTTATAGATTAAACAATTTGTATACTAATTCGGAGTGAAAAGTAATACATGCATAATGACCTTAAGTAAATAATTACAGCATTTTCAATCACATCATTTTTTTACATACAATCATTAGCATTGAATGAATAATTCTAAATATAATAATATTTAATTTCTCAACAAACTACTAACTGACCACTATTTCGAATCATTTAATAACAATCAATGAAAAAGAATGAAAAAATGTTGTTTACTAGCAATATTAATGAATGACTTATTTGTTCATCTACTCTTCACCACTTTCACGGCGTACAACTGGCACCGGAAAGCCATGCTTCATGTCTTGAGATGGCCATTCATAAGTGACATTAATCAATTCATCATATGACGTTTGATAGATTTGGGAACGTACGAAATACTCTATATTGTTTGGTTTTGGATAAAGACCAGCCATACCTTTCTGAAATTATTATTTAAATTTCATAAATAATGAAATTTTACTAATGCCTTTTAGCGTTTACAGAAACTTTGCTAACCATAATAATTACAAATAATAGTTCGATAATTGTTTTTAAAAAAATGAAACCTAAAAAAAAGATAAAAATGTGAGCATGAAATAGCAGCCATTATGATATCATTGAATATAAATTCATGAAATTGTTGCCTCTTACTAGTTACACCTTAACGATATTAACAATTGATTAGAACATAAAATGCTGATAATATCTGTAAAAAGCTTTAAATGAACCTTATATGCATGTTCACCAACTGCAATAGCTATTCTTACAGACATTTCACGGATACGATCTAATCGAGGATATAAACGACCTACTCTGAAGTCCTTCTCTGTTACAGTATTTGCAACTTCCTGTAATAAGTACTAATATATGCCAAATAAAATATTAAAGTTTAAATGAATAACATTTGTAAATTTCTGAAATCCAATATTAAAAAAATTACTATTCCTAAAATTCAAATTTGTTAAAAAAAAATAAAAAAAAATAACAATTTCAGACTGAAAAGATAAAAGGACTGAAAATAAGCATTTTTAGATCACTGATTTCTCCACAGAAAAAATAAATAAATAAATAAAGGACAAAGAAAGGAAAACAAGAACAAACATGAGCAGCAATGAGAAATGTTTCATCATCGATATGACGAATGTTGAACAGAATAGCACCAAGGCCTACACCAGGAAAAATATATGCATTATTACCTTGACCTGGCTTAAAAATCTTCCCATTATATTCCACATTTGGGAATGGACTACCACTGGCAAATAAGACTTTTCCCTGAAATAAATGAAAATGAACAAACTTAAAAAGATTTTAATTTTCTTTATCACATCATTTTTAAATATATTTGATGAAATGTTTAATAATTTAATGACTTATATTTTCATTTATTATCTTTTCAAAAAAAAGAAAAAAAGAAAAGGAAAAAACACCACAGCAGGCTGCAATGAAAAAGTTAATGGAATCGACTAAATAGACGTATCTAAAAAGTAGATCAATCTATTTCTTATATTTAACAGGATGTCAAATAAAATGATAAATAAACATATACATATCTAAGACATAAATAAACATATAAATAAATAAGAGTAAATGATAAATAAATATAAATAAGTAAATAAATAAAAGATAAATGAACAAACAAATAAATTATACATATATTACAAACATACGTTAGTCCAACGATATGCATCTTCTGCTGTACATTCGGCTTTATCTGTTGGATTTGAAAGTGCAAAAATGATTGGATGTTTATTAATTGATGCCATCTCGCGAACAATTTCTTCATTAAAAGCCCCACGTGCCGTTGAAGCACCAATCAAACCCCAAGGCTTTACTTTTTTCACAACCTAACAAAAACAAAACACAAATTCTTGATTTTTCTTGTCTGATAAAAGGAAGAAAAAAATTTTTTCCTGTGTAATTGATTTGATCTAAAGTTGAAGAAAAAATCGAAAAAAAATGCTCGCTATTCATTATCTGTTGATTATATCATTATTATCAGTAAAGCAAATATATTTATATCCAATTAAACTAGGAAGTAATAAGGAAAAAGTGAATATATACTTACTTCTAATAAACTTTTTGTTTCAGGCAAATCTTTTGCATATGGTTTATGCAAGTCGCCTAAATCTTTTCTATGTTTTGTAATTAATCCATCGATATCCATTAAAAAGATACGGTCATATGCTTGCTCCTTTGTCAAACCCTCTGCTATCATTTCTGCCACACATAATTCAGCGATACCCATTGATGCCTAAAATAAATTGCATAAAATTCATCAATTTTTTCCATTAGTTTCATATACACCATTACTCACTATAAATTCATTCAAAAAATTATGAATTATTTCAAAAAAAAAAGAAAATTTGATTCTGAAAGTTTTTTGTTCAACTGAATTTCAAATTAAATAAACTTACAGTTCCAGCACCTAAGAAAACAAATTTTCCTTCTGCAAGTGGTTTACCAGTATATTTCCAGCAAGCTAAAAGACCAGCTACTGCAACAGATGCAGTTCCTAAAAAAAAGAAAAAATGTAAAAGACAAAAAAAGAAATGGATAAATAAATGAAAACAATTATTTATATGATATCAAGCAAAAAAATTAGTAAAAAAAAAGTGACACAAAAAATAAAATATTACTGATAAGTGATGGAAGTAAAAATATGAAAGAGGAAAAAAATGTTAAAAGAAAAAAAAAAAATAAAAAAGCCAATATACCTTGTATGTCATCATTGAAGGTGCAATATTTGTTTCTGTACATATCCAATAAACGGTATGCATTTTGATTAGCGAAATCTTCGAATTGAATAAGAACCTGTTGCCCAAATCTTAATAAAAAGTAGAAAAAAATATATTTATTTTAAAAAATCTATTTTTCTTTAGAGAAATTAATCTTACATTTGTTTTCATCTTTCTTAAAGATTACTGTTTTCTATTTTTCATCCAAACTTCCTCTTTTTTTAAAAAAAATATAGTTTGAAATTAAAATATATTTTGTTGCCATATTAACTTTTTACTGAATATTATACTTTGTTATTTTATTCATAATATTACATTTCGTCTTATAGAACTATTTTCTTCCATTTTACAAATGATCAAAGGCAAATATTTACAATTTTCTTTTTTCTTGCTGTTTATGTTAGTCACTCAGTTACGATTGTGACTAAGAAAAAAAATTATGATTCCAATTTCAAACAAAACACAAAAATAAAAATAACAGAAACATTGTAAGTCACATAAAAATTTGCAAAATTTCTGCCATGTAAGAAAAAAAAGGTTACAAAAAGTTGAAAAAACCTTTTTCTACAAGCTAAGAAAAAATTTTCAATAAGTCGATCATATTCACTTCCACGAACACGTTTACGGCGTAATCCGATATAAAATGGATCATTCAAAAGCTCCTGAAATAAAATATCAGTGATATTTTATATGAAAATAGAAAATAAAAAAAAAGTGTAGTAGTAGAAACCAGGAAAACGTAAAAAAAATTTTCATCTCAATTACATCATTGTTGGTTCCAACATCTAATAACACCGGGAGACACCACCTCGGTTGCACACCGCCAAGGGCGACATACAGTGCGAGCTTTCCAACTGGTATACCAATGCCGTAACATCCCAGATCACCTAAACCAAGTATGCGCTCTCCATCTGTTACTACAATCGCCTGAAGATAAAAATGCAAAAAAAAAAAAAGAAAAAAATTCGATTAAACTCAAAATTTGAGAAAAAATAAAAAAAAATGGGAAAAAATTCTTTTTTTCAAAAATTTGAAAAACACTAGCATCAATTCATTATTAAGAATAAAAATTTTTAAAAAAATGCAAAAATATGGGAATAGAAAAAGTATATTTAATCTTATTTCTAATTTAATTCTATGCATAAAATAATTTAGCGAATATTTTTTTTAAGCATTAAAATTTAGTTAACTAAAAGAGGATATAACGAAG